CCCTTTTACATGTTGAAGGAAACTCTTATTCACCACAAACCACTACAGCCTTCACAGATTGCGAGAATTATCTGTTGGCTCCCTTCTCCCCTCTAGGAAGGAGTTGAGCCAACTCCTTCCTAGAACTACCTACAAAAGGAACCAAACTTACAACCACATCCTGCTGAAGAGTGTCTGTGTACAACAAATATGGTTGCTCCTCGTAATTGATTGGTGGATGGGTTATTACGAAAGGCTGTGCACGTCTAACAGCCTTTTATGAACTCCAGTGGGGTCTGAAGAGTTGGAAAAATTTTGATTTATTTCTATACAAGAGAATATAGGGATATGATTTGATTACTTGGAGTCAGTTGCGAAATACATTTTAACGGTGGAGGAATTGTAATCATATAAATGTAAATCCAGTCAGTTTATGGAATGCTTCAGTAAAATATTAAACTTTACACAATTAGTAGAAAGTATATTTTTGTTTTCCCTCTGATTTTACATATGCTGTACATGGATAAAATTCTAAACTAAAAGTTGTAGGTGTTTACAGACTGTATATTATATTGGACATGGTTACCCAGTGAGCAGAATGACTCATGTAAATGTTTTTGTTGTAATTTATGATGAAATTATAATGTCTTACTGAACACTCCATTCTAAACTGTCTTCTTTTTTCCATCTAAAATCATATTTGAAAGCACACAGTACGAGGTAGTATTGATTAGAGAACAAAGAGGCACATCTTGCCTCTTTGTTGTCTGCTTCTTATTTGCCTAAGAAGCAGACAAATATGTTGATACTCTTGCTTAATTTATATCCTTACTGCAGTAGCTTAATCTCAACTTTGAATTTTAGCAAAATCCAACCTTTTACTTAAGCATGTTAATGCAGTATTGGGGAAAAAGGTTTTAACAACATGTCTGCTGTTGAATTTCAGGTAACTTCCCAACAGGTATTGAACATAGCCCTCGTATTTACATGTGTGATGGTAGATAAAGTTTGTTTTTTGCTATGACTCCCCAGTAAGAGGTTGTTTAATATTACATTGGAAGGCTTGGTGACCCCAAAATACCGCTCTTATGTCCTGGATGCAGTTTTCTCATAGTGAGCTTGGAAAATTTCTCTTTATCACTGTTTTCACTGTGAATCCTGCCAAAATTGGTTCCCCATCCAGCTTTGCAGCGAATGGCTTCTGTGTTTCATAGTAATACCCCAGGAAAACAGAAAGTTGACAATTAGTAATAAGAGGTTTGTAGATATTCTGATGATGGTAAAAAAAAAAAAAAAAA